CATTGTTGGAAGCATCGGAAACGGGATCGGGAAAAGGAAAAATCGGAGAGGTAGAGTTGGGTTCACCGGCAAAAGGGAGATTAGATCAACAAAAGGCATCGTGGGTTGAAGTAGCTCAACAAAAGAAGGTTCTAAGGAAGTATGAGGTAGCTATCACAGATTTGGAGGGTCAATCGATTGTTGAGATCCCTGATGAAGTAGTGGTCAACTCAAATCCGTTATGGGAGGATTTTCTCATCCGTAAGTTCTTGGACACAGCACCACATATAGCAAGAATACATGCCATTGTGAACAAGATATGGCGAGAAGGAGGTAAAGGTTAGTTCGTGGAGGTCTATAGAGTTGATTCTACCACAATGAAATTTTGAGTCTCTGATCAGTTAATGAGGGGCAGAATCATTAGACGAGGGATGTGGAACATAGGAGGTGTACCAATGGTGGTAACAAAATGGACTCCAGAAGAGTTGGAAGAAAAACCTGAAGCCAAGTCTGTTCTACTTTGGGTCCATCTGAAAAATGTACCGCTCAACATGTACTCTTAGGAGGGACTAAGCTTCATCACGAGTGCAGTAGGTCATCCAGAGAGACTTCATCTTGAAACAGCAGCTTGCTCCAATTTCAAGATTTCAAAGATCTTTGTAAATGCTGATTTATCAAAGGAACTACCGAGGAAAATAAATTTTACAAAGAATGGTAAATCATCTCTGGTTGAATTTATCTATCCTTGGCTACCCGTTAAGTGCAAAATGTGTGAGAAATGGGGACATTTGGAGAAGGCTTGTGTGATGAATAAAAAAGATATTGTGCTGGAAGAGGTGATAAATAAGACAGGTAGTGTGAGTCCGGGAAGTAAAAAGGATGAAACGGAGAATATGGGAAAGGATGTGATCACATGTGAAGTATCAAACAAAACGGTTAAGAAGGGACAAGAGGATATATGAAAAGAAGGGAGTTCAGGGAATAATCTTAAAATAAAGGAAAAATAGATAAAGAATCCGGGGAATGGTGAAGAGATAGAAGAGGGAGAAATAGAAAAATGGCCAGGGTTTTCTAAACTTGTAAAAGTTCTACTCATAAGGATACAGTCAAGTAAAGCTTGCAAAAAGATATGCAGCTTTAGAGGAAGTGGATGATAATGGGGAGATAGTTAACCAAACTGAAGGTAGCAAAAGTATGGAGAAAGTAGAGGAGAAGATAGATGAAAGCAAGATAGAAATGGAGAGATAGTGGAAAATAAAGAGAAGGAGGATACCGGTAAAAAAAGAGGAAAAAAGGAGATCTATAGTTACGCGGCTATAGTGGGTAATACAGGCTTGAGGTCTTGTTCGCCGAGGACATGTAAAAAAAATTATCGGGTTATTCCATAACACCTTGGGAATCTAGGAAGAAAGAACCAAAAGCCATCTCAACGACAGGTTTTTTTCTAGAACATAAGAGGTCTCAATAAAAAATCAAAACACATAGTCATTAATAACTGAATAAAGAACAAAGGATTGCAGTTTGGAGCTTTTTTAGAAACGAGAGTGATGGAAAATAAATCGATGCAAGTGATGTCAGCTATTGAACAGGATTGGTCAGTGATTCACAATTATGAGTATAGCATGTTAGGTGGAATCTGGTTTTTTTGGAGGCCAAAAGTGAAAGTATCACCAGTGGTTTTCAAAATGCCTAGCAACAAAGCTCCAGGACCTAATGGATACACCATTGAATTCTTCAAAGCTTCATGGAGTGTTGTTGGTAAGGATCTTACGATAGCAATCCAATCATTCTTCAGGAAAGGGTTCTTGCCTAAGGACTGAATGCAGCCATTTTTGGCTTTAATTCCGAAGAAAGATTCTGCAGTAGAGATGAAAGACTACAGGCCAATATCTTGCTGCAATGTTCTCTTCAAAATAATCTCAAAGATCATTGCAAACCGTCCAAAAGGTACTCTACCTCACTGCGTTACTCAGAATCAATCTTCCTTTGTTAAGGATATGTTGCTAGTGGAGAACTTGCTATTGGCCACTGAGATTGTTAAAGACTACCATAAAGCAGACATATCTCCCAGATGTGCTATGAAAATAGATATTGCAAAAGCGTTTGATTCAGTTCAATGGGGGAAGGGGGGGCTTACTGAATACACTTTGAGCTCTAAATATTCCCGAAGAATTTGTGCATTGCATTAAGCTGTGTATCTGCACTGCATCGTTTTCACTACAAGTAAATGGTGAGCTTGCGGGTCTATTTCAAAGTAAGAGGGGTTTGAGGCAAGGATGTGCAATGTCTTCTTACTTATTTGCCATATGCATGAATGTATTATCACACATGCTTGATAAAGCGGCAGAAAGGAAGCTTATTGGATATCATCTTCGGTGTAAAAACATCTCATTAACTCATTTGTGCTTTGCAGACGATTTGATGGTGTTTACTGATGAAAAGAAAAATCCATTGAGGGTATTCTCTGAGTCTTTAATGAGTTTGCTGATATGTATGGTTTACAGATAAGCCTCGAGTCTACTTTGTATATTGCGGGAGTTGAAGGGAATCAAGAGGAGGAGATTCTAAACCAGTTCCCGTTTGCATCAGGTAATCTTCATGTCCAATACCTTAGTTTGCCACTACTTACCAAACGTATGACAGTTCATGACTATCTTCCATTGGTTGAGAGAATTCGGAAGAGAATGAGATCTTGGACTGGGAGATTCTTGTCTCATGTTGGTAGGTTACAACTCATTACGTCTGTTATAACAACTAACAGAATGATGCAAGCTTTTCAACTTCCAGGGAGTTGCTTGAAGGAGATTGAAGGATTATGTTCGACTTTTCTGTGCTCAGGGTCTGAGCTAAAGACAAGCAAAGCTAAGGTTAGCTGGAAAGATGTTTGTATACCAAAACAAGAAGAGGGTTTGGGAATTAGGCCTCTGAAGGAAAGAAACAAAGTTCATTTTCTTAAGCTGCTGTGGAGAATTTACTCGGCAAAAAAATATCTTTAGGTCAGGTGGATTCATTGTTATTTAATCAGAAAGGGTTGCAAAAGAGTAATTCAGCTTCAGGTTCTTGGATTTGGAGGAAGTTACTCAAGTTAAGAGAATTTGCTAAGAATTTCTTGCATATGAGAGTTGAGAATGAAAGTTGAGAATGAGAGTTGCTAAGAGAGTTGAGAATGAAAGTTGAGAATTTCTTACATATGAGAGTTGAGAATGAGAGTTGCTAAGAATTTCTTGCATATGAGAGTTGAAGATACATCGTTTTGGTTGGATAGTTGGTCAAATATGGGATGTCGAAAGGATGTTTTGGGTGATATGGGATGTATTGCGTTGGGAATTCCTCAAGATGTTTTGGTCAAAGATGTGGTAAGAAATCATAGAAGAAGGAGGAGACATAGAGAAAAATATTTTAAATGAGTTGGAAGAGGAGATAGAGAAGATAAGAGTCATGAAGAGTCAAGAGAAAGATGTACCACTTTGGAAGCAGAGGGAGGGGGTTTTTTGAAGAGAAATTCTCAGCAAATAAAACTTAGAACCAAGTGAGACAGTCTCCGCAGACGCATAAATGCATATGGAGTAAGGGTATTTGGTTCTCTGATGCTACACCAAAGTATGATTTTCTATTATGGATTGTGGTTCGCAAGAGACTCCAAACGTGTGATAGAATGCAGAGGTGGAGTATGAGTGCAAATCCGACTTGTGTACTCTCTAATGAAAAAGCTCAGACTTGCCATCATTTATTCTCCAGTTGTCCATACACAATGCTGATCTGGAAAACTCTTGTGGGAAATATACTATTAGATAGTTTCACTATTGAATGGGATGAAATAATTGAGATCATCTCAAGTTCGAGATGGACAGCAATAAAGATGTTCCTCATTAGATACACCTTGCAAGCCACGGTGCATGCTATTTGTCGAGAAAGAAATGCAAGAAGGCATGGTGATCAAGCTCAAGCTGCGAGTTGTATAACAAGTTCCATTGATAAGATGATCAGACTGAAACTCTTGCTTGTTCAAGGACAGGGACATGACTATTTGGAGAAAGGGTTAGTGACTTGGTTTAGCACAAGACAAGTTTAATCGCATGAAAAGGATTGGACTTCTTGACACTGAGGTTATTCTATGCGCATTTGGTTTGTGGGTTATAGAATTGTTCATATTAGTTTTTTCTCCTGGTCATGAGATTTCTACTCTTTTTCCTCATTACTTTGATAAGGTTTTAATGAGGGAAATCTCATAACCCTTCCAAACTTAACTTGTGTCATATGATTAAGCTTGAGGGTGAGTTTGTTTTTCGAGAAGATAAGAATAGGAGTTTTTTTATTTTGGGTTTATAGTAGTTCTGTTTTGGAACAAAATAGGAAGCACTTGATGTAACACTGTTTTTGTATAAATAAATTTTACATTCATTCAGAAAAAAAAAGAAAGAAACTGGTAAGTTCGTTATATCTCGTTCTTCCTCAATTCAAATTTTGGATTTGTAATGTCTTTTGATGATTTCTGACCATGTTTGTCATCAAGTTCGCTGGGTGATGAAGAATACGTGGTTGTGGACAATGTAAAAGTTTCTCCCAATTCTAAAACAGAAGGAGCAGGAGCAATTCAAATGGTGTGTATTCTAGTTTCTCATAACTTTTGGCACGTCTTTGATTATATGTTTTCTCTTCTAAACAATACTTGTCTTTCAGATGGAACAATAAAAAAATGCAGTTTATCAGTATGTATCCGAGGACGCAATCAGATAGTGATGCTTGGGTGGTGGTGTAATCCGGAGGTTGAAGTCGACATTTCAGGTTTTAGGACAATGCAACTAGTTTACTTCTGTCTCTTAACTGCGGAGCTTTCTTTTATCATCAGCATATTGAAATGATGGTTTTGGATTTAATAATTGATCCTTTGTTTTTTTTCAGCAAGAAGAGTTTCGTATATTCACATGATTTATCCGTCTTAGCACAAAACAACAAATTTAATAGAGAAAATGACCAAGAGTACCAGTGAGGTGTAGGAGATAAATGAAGCTAAGATTGCTTCAACAAGGGGTAGATCGAAAAACAAGCTTATGTTGATGTGTTTGGCTTTGACATTGAACATGACATGATCTCGCTTTATCTCTTAGCTCTTGAAATGCCCTCATTGTCTCTGCATCAAATCCTCCTGCGAACTGAACAAAAACAAAAACAAAAAAACAGATTTGTAAAGAGTTTGGACAAACAAACGTTGTACGATGATCAAAGTTTTGCTTTACCTGATGAACACGGAACGCGAATCTAACACCTTGAACGATTAGCTCTTCCTCTTCAGGGCCACCACCTCCAATGGCTTCTAAATCTGCCGACACTCTCTTCATATACTTCATTGCTAGTTTCACAGATGCCAATTTAATCTGAAAATCACACACATTTTGTAAGCTAAACAGTTAATACTTAATACAAACTCCCATATCTTACAATTTGAACACACTACACGTAACATTAAGACTCAAAAGAGAATTGATTCCATTCACTATTGCTTTGTATGTCCAGTCCTATCACAATAATATTCATATTGTTTTTCTTGTGTGCATATACTGTATATCAAAATTGATGAATCCCAAGGAAAAAACAAAGGAAGCAGACAAGAAGAAAATATTGAAACTCACAAGCGTGCACATAGAAAAACACCAAATATATTAAAGTAACCACTAAATTCAAGTTTACTTTGTTCAAGATTTGTATTTATCTGTATTTGTCATGTAGTACATAATAATTTACTATGTAAACACACACAATAATAGAGTGAAGAGAGTATCAAACCAATCTTAGATTGTCCTGTGCCAGCAACAATTGACTTTTAAATGGGACCATGAGAATTGTTGTTCTTGTTGTTTCTATATATTATTTATTATCTTATTCATTCATCACTACTCCAATCAAAGTGCAACAAATAGCAGAAGAGGGCAAGTAAATAATAACTTGACTACCACAGGCATATCACTAAACTAGTCCTGGGATTTATATCTGACCAAGATCACTAAACCTAACCGAAACCAAAACAAAACCAAAACCAAAACCAAAAAAAAATTTAAACCTAACCTGACCAAGAAATTTAAAGCTAAGTCTAAAAACCAAAACCAAAACAAAAAAAAATGTTAAATTCGGTAGAATCTTAGGAAACCAAAACAACCGAGAACGGAAATGATTTATTTTGGGTTCAATTCGGTAAGATTGTGGAAGAACAGAACTAACCAAAACCAAAGTACCGAAACGGATTTAACCAAATAAACCGAAACAGCATGCCTACTATGCTATGGATTTGTGTAATCAGAGCATTAAGCAAAACCAAGATTTTGCTGACCTGACTAGTAATGCCGGTTTCGAGCATCCAATCAACCGGAATCTGGAAAGTCTTGAACTTCGTCGCAGCTGATTCCTTCATCCTCGATAGACTATAAACACCATGCTCTAACCTTCAAAACCCACAAAAAAATATCTGATTACATCTCTTACATTTTGAACACATAATTAAAAAAAAAAAAAAAGATTGGATTTTTATTTTACTTTTCGAACAAAGCTTGCATTTTCTTAAGAGCAGAACAAGAAGGTTGACGAGGTTCTTCCCGGAAACGAGAAGCTTCCGAAATGAGTTTCTTCAGATCGAAATAACAAAACGCTGCTTCACGCAACGCGTCTGCTTTCTGCTCCGGCCACTCAAAGTGTTTCAACACCGCTCTCTCGTCGACCAGGTAAGAGAGTTCGTCGTCGAGCCATTTGACGAAAGGCACCACGTCTTCTATATCCGAAAACGCTGCGTTTTCGACTTCCTTGATTAGGAATCTTATGAAGTCTCCTTGTGTTTCTACATCGGTTTTAATCTGCAATGTCCGGTTTAAAGTTTAATGAAAACCGGTTAATGACCTAAACCGAAGTTAATGAGAATTATACCGCTAGTAGATAAACCGATCGGTTTTCGATTTCTCCGATCATGTCTCTGGCATTGGAGCTGGCGAGTACTGCCTCTGCGGCGGCGCCGGTGGAATCTCTTCTCGAGTTTGTAGAGTCTCTTCGCATCAACGAGTGGTAGAACTCGACAACTTCCGGTACTTTTCTTACTTTTGCCGCCGCTATGTTTAAACTCTTCGGCGGGGGCGGTGGTGGAGGCGGAGGTTGGGCTTTAGAAACGGATGAAGGAGGTGGTGGGGGCGGTGGAGGAGGCGGAGGAGGAGGTGGACTCGTTCTCTGCGGTGGCGGATCTGGTATATTCTCTGAGGAATCTTGTGAGCCGTTGGATGAAGAAGACCGTTTAGGCGGTGGTTTTGGGACTCTAGGAACCCTAGATCTGACGGTTGAGAGTTCGTCCGAGTTAGTTACGGAATGACACTCGATCTCCTCTTTCCGGTAAATGTCACCGGAAGAAACGGTCAAGTTATTGTTATCTTGGTTTGGAACCGGGTCGGGTATGTTCCTCATGGATTCGACCCGTTTTAGACTCCGGATTAGGCTCGATTTCGCCGACACATCCATTAAACCCTGAAACCGTTGAGAGACAGAGAGCGCGTGGTCTTCACTCGAAGAAACAAGTTTCCGAACCTCCGCTTCCATCTCCTTCTCTCTCCTCTCGCTTTCTCTCCGCAGCTCCTCGCTCCTTTCGACTTCACGCCGTAACCTCTCGTTCTCCTCCGTTAACCTCGCCGTCTCTTTCCTCGAACGCTCGATTTCTCCGTTCTTCTCCGCGAAAACGGATTCTCGGAGTAGCTTGAGCTCGAGGACCTCCGCCTTTAGCAGAGCCTCTCTATGACGAAGCTCCTCCACTTGACGACGGAGCTCCGAGACTTGGTCGGAACGAGAAGAAGCATTGTGTACTTGAGAGGAAGCGCGTGGGAAGTAGCGAGCGAAACCGGGTTTCTGATTAGAAACCGGTTTACCGGCAGAACCGGAAGACGGTTTAAGCGGGTGAGGAGGAGGAGGGGGAAGAGGAAGGGGGAGAGGAGTAGCCATGTCTTTTGATTTGTGAAACCCCATGGTCACACGGACTTTACCAGCCACCAATGATGAGAAAAGACAAGTTGAGTTTCAAAATGTTCTTGAGAAGGAAGGAGGGGTTTGCATGGAAATTAAAAGCATGTCGTTGTCCGTGCAGTTCTAGAGAGAGTGTGTGTGTGATTGTTGATAGTGATGATGACTGATGATTCAAAGTTTGGGCCTTTGGATTAAGAAGATGAGATTAATTAAAAACAAATTGATAAAAAAAAGAGATTAATATAAAAAAAATGTTTTTTGAAGAAAATAAATGAATTCGTTAAAATGATTTACCTTTATTTCGACCGTTGGAAGAATAAGGTAACCAAATGAAATTGAAACTATGCTTTATTTTTTGAAGCAGTGTTACTCGTATAACGAGGAACGTTCTTCTGTTCATCTTCGATTCAAATTTCAAAAAGTAAAGAAGAACCCCTTTTAAGTCTTTTGGGATGGTGCCTTGATACTTTTCTTTATTTGTCTTACAATAACTTTCAGTTTTCATCGGCAATAGTGAGAATGGTAGCATATATAGATCAGAATAACAAAATCATGAAACAATTTAAGAAAGCTTTCAGTGTATTAAGAGTATTGTGAATTTACTTTAGCGATTTTATTATCCCGTAAAGGTATTGTTGATCTATTTAGAAATCTAGGTGGTAACCCATTTAAACAAATAACGGTGATAAATTCATCTATAATAGTTTGCTCTATTTTTTATCTTCAAACTAATAACATATCGTAAATTTGGATTAAACTTAACGATATTTTATTTTATAGAGTATAAAATAGAGTGAAATCAGAATATTTTTATTCTAAACACTATTTTAGAGTGAAAATAGAATATAGTCAGAGATGCTTTAAATCTAAGAGATTTATTCTAAAGTTTTGCATTTAAAATACAAAATAATATTTCTAGAAAACATAATAAATATTTAATAGGAAATCTATTTCAATACAATGTAATTGATGACAAATGATATTCACACACGAACATGTAAATTCAATTTATGTGTGAATGGTCGAGGAACAAAGTTTGGTAATACTCCATTCCTTTTATGATTTTTTTTTGTTACAAACTAAATATCGTTTTATGATTTCAATGTAATTTATATCTTTAATTTATCTATTTTCCTTCTTACATAATTTAAGAAAAAATATATATAGTTAATAACTAAATTAGTACAAAAGTGGACATTTATTTATTTTTATTTTTTTTGAAACACCACAAAAGTGGACATTTAATTCTTCTTTAATTGTCATGAAAAATCTAGAACACTATCTAGTTTGAACCGTTTCAAAAAAATACATTTTCACAAATATTAAAAAATGATTGAAATATGTTTATGTTAATATTATTTATATTTGTCTAATCAAAAGTGTTTTAGGTAAATTAAACTATTATAAGATCAATACACTTTGTAATTAATATTAAATTTAAAATAAGTAAAAATTATATTTGAATTCTAAACTAATAATCTCTGGATAACAAAAAAATGGTAAAATGATATTTGTTTACGAAACAAAAAGAATATAAGCATTGGATTATTTGGTTTGCTTCAGTTTGGGTTTCTGTAAATTAGGATTCAAAAAAAGATAAGTTTCAGTGACAATCAAATTAAATGAAGATGAGTTTTATTCATGATAGGCATTGTAGTTTTGTTCTATCTAGGACAAAAATTGATACACACAAAGTCATTTTTTTTACTGATCTTTAAATACACACACAAAGTTTTAGCATTGATCGTAGTGATCTGGCTATAATTTTTAAGCTATTCCACAATTCATTTTAATACTCTGCATTTCCACCCATTAATACCGATGATTTAATTTTCTTAAAGTCTGATTAGATTGATGCAAACAATGAAAATGAAAGGGCAAATTAATTTGAGCAACGGCGAAGAAGGGGAACTTACAGAGAATTGAAAAGAATGTCACATAACATGTGGGGGTGACACATATATATTTCACTTGTGTATGTATATATATGTTCAAATTAAATAAAAAAAATAAATGTTTTGATGGTGGCCCTTTCACAAAAAATCAACATCTTGTCTTTTCTACGATGCCTTAACATTCAAAACATACACATTCACCCATGTCATATGTGCACAACTAAATGAATGTCATGCTGCATAAATGTAGATGAATATGCAGATGAGACTGCATTTTTTTGTCCATCCATGTTATTAGTCGCAGAATTAAAAAAATGAAAAATTATAAATTGTTCTGCATGCTGATTAGTATTTTCCTAGAAATAATTGTCTTACATCTATGTTTAAAAAAAAATTGTCCTGCATGGATAAGAAAAAAAAGGAGCTGTCGTACGACAGATTCCCAATCCAATGCTTTTTTTTTCTTTATTCTTTTATATTTTTTTCCTTTCACTGAAATTCTTTTAAAACAAATATTCTCTAGCTTAGCCAATGTTCGAGCCGCAAAGAAACTAAAGAAAATTCTGGAGATGTATGAAGCAGTTTCTGGCCAAGCAGTCAACCTCACTAAGTCATCTATCACTTTTGGTTCCCGGGTATCTGAGGTGACTAAAACAAATATGCGGCACATTTTAGGTATTCATAATGATGGTGGTATGGGAAAATATTTGGGGTTGCCGGAACAGTTTGGTAGAAAGAAGAGTGAAATGTTTCAATATATCATTGATAGAGTTAAGAAAACTACTCAAGGTTGGCATCAAAGGTTCCTCTCTCCTGGTGGGAAGGAGATACTTCTTAAAGCAATAGCTTTGGCTATGCCCATATACACTATGAATGTGTTTAGACTTACAAAAGAAATCTGTGATGAAATAAATGGGATAGTTGCGAGGTTTTGGTGGAGCTCAGGTGAGAAGAAGGGAATTCATTGGTTTTCATGGGAGAGAATGAGCTTACCAAAAAGAGAAGGAGGTTTAGGTTTTCGAGACTTGGAAAATTTCAATCAAGCTTTACTTGGGAAGCAAGTCTGGCGTATATTACAAAACCCTGATTGTCTTATGGCAAGGATTATGAGAGCTCGTTATTTCTCTGATGGAGACTTATTAAATGCAAGATTACAAAGGAAAGCCTCCTATGCCTGGAAATCTATTCTACATGGTCGAGATCTTGTGAAAAAGGGAATGAGATTTGTTATTGGTAATGGGGAGTTAATTAATATGTGGAGTGATCCATGGCTACCAGATCATCCCCCACGGCCTCCCCGATCCTTGACACAAGATGTGGAGGATTGTAAACTTAAAAACTTTTTCTTACAAAACAGAAACCACTGGGATGAAGAGAAGCTGCGGGAATGTGTTGTGGCAGAAGATGTGGAGAAAATCTTATCGATTAAGATTAGTTCTAAGGCTCAACAGGATCTTATGGGTTGGCATTACAATGAAGATGGAATCTACTCGGTCAAATCTGGTTATTGGGTTAGTTCTCATCAAGAAGACCATGTGTTGATTCATAATATTCCAGGAAGTGTAGTTCTAAAACAGAGGATATGGAAGCTGAAATCACCACCAAAACTCAAACATTTTCTATGGAGGATGTTATCACAAGGATTACCAGTGGGAGCTAATTTAAAGAGGCGACATATAACACAAGATGCTATCTGTAAAAGATGCTTCCAAGAGGAGGAAACGGAGGCTCACATATTTTTTGAATGTCCTTATGCTAGGATGATTTGGAGAGCATCGGGTGTGTCTAATGGGATTATTAATAATATGTCATCAACTTTAGAGGAAAAGATTCAGGAATGTATTACTTGTAGTACATCAGGGAGACTAGTACATCTTCAAGATCTTCCTACATGGATATTGTGGAGACTGTGGAAGAGTAGAAATATGCTACTTTTCCAACGTAAATCGGTTCCGTGGAGGAAACTTCTGAAACACAGCAGAGTAGATGCACGAGAATGGTTTCAATCGCTTATAAAGAATGAAACTAGCCAACAAGGAAGCAGAAAAATGGCTGAAGTACAAAGGAAAGAATATTGGAAGAAGCCACCAGACGGATGGATAAAAGTTAATGTGGATGGTAGCTTTATAAATAATGATGTTAGAAGTAAAGCAGGCTGGATATATCGAGATCATTGGGGAAGCTTCAAAGGTGGAGTACAAGCGGTTGGAAGAGTTGTTAATAATCCTTTGGAATGTGAAATGCAAGCTATTTTGATGGCCACTCAACATGCATGGAGTAGAGGACATCGGAAGATATGCGTTGAATCAGATTGTAAAAAGGCGATTGATATTATAAATGGATCAATTCTTCATTTTGATGCTTATAACTGGACAAGAGAGATCCAATGGTGGAAGCAACAATTTCAGGAGATTAAGTTTCAATGGATAGGACGAGAAGGCAACAAAGTAGCAGATAAAATGGCAAGACAACATTGTGAAGATAACTTTTCCTTCAAGTTTCATTTTTATGTTCCTCGTTTTATTCTTTCTGATATTCATAATGACTATGTACGGAACATTTAAGTAATAAAGTAAGGGTTATAAAAAAAAAAAAAAACAAATATTCTCTTAAATTTCTCTTAACCTATATATTATATTCTATTATATTTTATAGAAAATTATAAATATTTGGAATACTATAAAAACATATTCTTTAAATTTTATTTAATTTTTTATTGTTGATGATATTTAACATAAATAAAATAATTAATAGTTATGTACAAAAGTCAAATGTTATATTATAATATTTAAAAAACAAGTTAATGAATTCATGCTTGTTATTGATAACTCATATATACATATATTGAAGGCACATATATAAAAATTTAAATAGTTATTGTAATTGTTATGTAATATTTTAAGAAAATGTTATACTGAATATAATCTTTATTTGTTCTTACATATATGTTCGAGCACCTCTAATGGGAGTATGTATTATTGGGAGTTCAGAATATATATATATATATATATATATATATATATATATATATATTAGTATTTAATTATGATATTCTTAAGCTTACTAAAAATTCAATCATAAATATCTCTATGCAGAACTTTCCAACTG